AATTTTTAAAAAAACCCCCCCCCCCCCCAAAAAAAAAAGGAAAAAGAAAAAGACACCCAAATTACACACACTGAGACAGGTTGTAAACATATAAATAATCTGAACACTCATCACCCCCAAAAAGCAGAAAATATTCTGTACCTTATTTTCAATTTTATTAAAATTACTGGACCTCTTTTGTAAATGTTCCAATTAATATGGTTTATTTGCCGTTTTGGCTTTCTTTATTGGAAGCCCTAGACAAAAGATACAAAAAAGGATAGATAGATAGATAGATAGATAGATAGATAGATAGATAGATAGATAGATAGATAGATAGATAGATAGATAGATAGATAGATAGATAGATAGATTACAACCTAACGTTTGCAACTTTCATTCAGTTTATTAGCTTTTAAATGCATCTCCTATTTGGCAGGATGTTGTAGTACAATCATTTTTTGCAGCCAGAATTGAAGAGATATTTTTGAAATCTTAACATTCTTAAAATGTAACTGTAATCCTGGAAATTTAATGCAGTTACTTTTAAGATAGCTATAATGTTGTTTTTACTCTTCACTTTACATGGTCAGAAGGTCTAAGCATAAATGTGTCAAAAGATATCTGAAAGCTCTTTCTCTATATGTATGTAACTAAATGTAATTTAAGTTACATTTAAGGTCATCCTAATAAGTTTCTACTGTTTACAACTAAGGATATTCCAGATTACATTGGCTATATCTGAAATAGATTTTCATTATGTATATTTGAAATAAGAAATGTAAACTAAAAATTAAACATTATTGATTTCAGATAGCCACAATATTTGTTCTAAACACCACATATGTTCTTATGGATATATTGAGCTGATTCTTTCTGTCAATGAAGATAATTTTAACATAAATATATAAAGATGCATATAGAAACTTTTTAAAATACATACAGTATGTTTTCAAAAGAACATGACCAGGCAGTAGATCTCTTTATGAAAAGGGTTTCCCAAATCCGCTGTTGTTCACAATTGCAAGTGGAAATAATGTGCTTGTTTGAATACAAAGCTGATTTTTCTACCGGGTAAAGGTTCAGGGATGGCTGAATTTATTGAAAGAAAAAACATGTACATCTAAAAAAAAAAGAAGTGGCAGTAAAAAAAAATGAAAAAGAACGGAGAAAGGCTCTGTATCTGAATTATCTTGTTTATTTAATGATGTTGTGATTACACCTGACTTTGTGGACTCATTGGTAACAACCATAAATGGCAAACTTACTCAATAAGATTCCGTAAAATGTTCTTTTTTCCCCAGCTGCTATTTACTGTGTTGTAACTTGTAAGGAAGATGACCATAGACCCGACGAAAAAGGACTTTTGACTTAAAAAAAAAAAAAAGCAGAAAGAATTCTGAGATAAAAGTCAGATTACTTATTTTCCAGGGAGGCTGAAGCCGTTCTGTATGTACCTTGTGTATTGCCTCAGTAAGTCAACCCAAGCTATTTCCATTCCGCTCCGTGTGATAGAGGACATGTCTCCGAAGGGACGCAGACAGACTTATCCCTCTTTTTCTCCGTCCAATTTATGCAAATGACGGCGGACGCGCAGGAATCTGGGGGACAGCCCAGCACACTCCAAAATGGCGAACCGCAACAAGGGTAAGCGCGTCTAATGAAACAAACGGTCTTCGTGTCTGTAGCTAAACTCGAGAACATTCTCCGAGCGTCACTCAAACATTTTCCAAGTCTGTTCACTGTTGTCCTACAGCTGTACACGGTGGAAGCCATGTTTCCTGTAGCAGTAACTTTCTTTTTCAGCCGCTAGCTCCACCTGTCTGAAGCTAACGCTACCCTCCTCAGGCCGGAGAACTTCACAGAGTTCAGAAAGCAGCCTTCCTGCCGTCTGCTGTCTCTCTATACCTCACATCATTCTAACTGTAACATTCGAGCTAATTCACTTTACCACAACTGAATAACAGCGCCCAGGGAGCTGCATTGAGTTGAGGTCTTGGTAGCTGCTCTTTGCTATCTGATGCTAACTGTGTGCATTTTCCACATAAAGATGTTGAAGAGGAAATCTACGACAAGGTCGTGGATCTGACGGAGTACGCCAAGCGGCAGCGATGGTGGAACCGCCTATTCGGGAAGAACTCCGGGCCCGTAGCGGAGAAGTACTCCGTGGCCACACAGATTGCAATAGGAGGAGTGAGTGGATGGTAAATATTTACCTTCCTAACGCACCGTGCTGCCTTCAGGGGCCGCGTGTTATCCGTACTGCTCAGCTTTCCAAGGTTAAACGCACGCCTACATCCGGTAATGTCCGTGTAAAAAACGGTCCACTGAATTTGTTAAATAAATCTAAACAAAATCCTAATGGCGTTGATGTAATTAATGGAACTTTTTTTTTCTTCCAGACAAGCAGTGGATAACGTTTTTTTTATATATATAGGCTTTACAACATTTTAAGAGACAGTTAATCCCTTTAAGATGCAGTATGTAACTTTTATTAAAAATAAATAAATATATATATATTTATATATATATATATATATATATATATATATATATATATATATATATATATGTTTTTTTACATAATATGTGCTTCCTGCCCATATTCACGCCCACACACCAATTGGAGATGGACCAAACTTTGCTAGAACCGAACCAGACATTAACCAGCTAGACTGAGACCTGACAATGGAGAAGAAGCTTTAGTTTCCCAATGAACAAATACAAAGCTGTTTCACATTTCTTCCTGAGGCAGAAACTGTCATTTAATTTGAACCCCCTTGCTGTTGTGTATGTTTGGCTTTAGGTGCGCAGGTTATCTCTTCCAGAAGGTGGGGAAGGTTGCTGCCACAGCCGTAGGTGGAGGTCTTCTGTTGCTGCAGGTATTGTTGCACCTCTGTTTGTCTTGGAACATCTCAAGCTCTCGCTTCTGTTTCACTGGCCCGACTCTGCTTTCAGATAGCCAATAACAGCGGCTACGTCCAGGTGGACTGGAAGAGGGTGGAGAAGGACGTGAACAAAGCTAAGAAGCAGCTAAAGAAGGGAACAGATCAAGCAGTCCCAGAGCTAAACACATTCATGGAAAAGGTGAGGTTCAAGGGAGATTGGAAATGAGAATTATCTGGTTCTTCAAAATTAAGCCGCTGGGACTTTCCTGCTAAAAGCAAACTAGAGTACGTCCTCCATTATTTCAGATGTTAGCTTTCTCTTTGGATTTAATTTCTGGCAAACAGTTGCCACATCTTTACATCAACATCAAATATTTAAGAGAAATTTGGGCATTCTGATGTTCAGAAGTCATAAATTTGTAAAAAAAAAAAAAATAAATAATAATAATAAAGAAGTGTTTTTTATGATTAAAGGCTTAACTACTTCATATTAAGGGGGCAGTGTTATTTAAAGTTGACTTTTTTGAGCTTTACATCATGTCATAATGTTATTTCCTCTTCAACAATATACCTACCTGAAGTGTTGCCTTGATTCTTTGATGCATGTTTGAGAAATCATTTTATCTCCATGGCAACCATGCAGCTGTGCAAAAGGCCTGGTTGAACCTAGCGCTGCCTTCCAGGACGAAGCTCCTCCTCAGAGTTTCCAAGTTTCTGAGCTTCTGTCTCAGAGCTAACTAATTCAAAGACGAAAAGGAGTCGGATGGATTATTCAGATTAACTTTAGTGAATAAAAGAGATGAACGAATCATACATAATGTGATATACGAGTGTAGGAACTCGGCTAACAAAGCTCTTTCTGGGGGAAAAAAAACCCTCCAAATTTTCTTCTGCGTCTAACTTTAAGTTCTTCTAGCTTTAAAGTCATCATGGGATATATAGTCCATTCTGTTGAAGGTCCACAAATAGTCCATTTTGAACCAGATACCAACTATCAAATTCTTACTAAATCTATGGCATAACAATTACAGCTCAAATAGTTACTTATATTAAACTATAATGTCCTAAATAATAAGTCATAAACAAATCCTGGTTAAACCCAAAACAAATTCTCAGCAGAGCAGCCGTCGCCCACGACTCCCCCGCTCAGCTGCTTCAGCCTGGTGGAACTACACATGTGCTGAGCTCGTTACACAGTTTAAGGGGTAGTTTTATCAATATATTTAGTTACAACTGGATCTGAATTGTGAGTACATTCAAGATGTTGTGGCTCAAAATAAAAATGAGTTTGACCCCCGTGCTTTAAATCATTCTCTTTTTTTTTTTCTTGCAAATTTACAGTGTGATTTACATTGAATGTCTTTGCTTTTTTTTCTTGTATGTATGTCAAATGAATGTAGAAATTTCAGATTTTTTTTGCCAGAAATGTACTCCTTTGTAGCTTCCTTATAATTATTATTTTATCTACAAATGAATCTAATGCTCCATTGCAGCTTAGTGATATGTTTCTGTCTGATTATGATGCAACTTCTGGAGTTTTGTTTTTAAATAAATTGAATTTGTTTCACATTGACGATATAGGGAAATGTGTTTCATGTGTGAAATAAGATAATTATTTCACTATAAAGCGTTTCAATGCAAAAATAGATCAAATGAAAGCTTATCACTTTCTTATGCATTACTTCATGTTTGTCCGTTACATAAAATCCAGCTGAATTTCAGTGAAATTTACAGTGTCGAAACATGTGAAGGGTCTGTACTTTAACAGACCCACGCTCATTAAAAGATCCAAACCATGCCTTTAAAGAGACAGCAGCGCAACTTAACAGTTCGGCTGAGTTCCCCTTGTTTGATGTGACGTCTGCATTTCCTTTTCATTTTGTCTCCTCTAAGTCTTGGAAGCTGATTTTGAACATCATTTCTGTGTTTTTTCAGTCCACAGAGTTTGTGAAGAAGAACATTGTCGTCACCGGCGGTTTCGTGGGAGGGTTCCTGCTCGGCCTGGCGTCTTAGGGTGTGCCAAAGCAGAAGAGTCTGCGTCCCTCTGTCTTTACAAAATCATGGTTAATCGTTATTGCAGGGATTCTGAATTTTTTTTCAGCAGCAAGCAGCCAGTTTCAGTTCAGCTTCCAGATATGTTTCTTTTTTAAGCTGCACACCATTTTGTCTCTGAAACTGTGCAACCACATCAATATACTGTGAGAGGGAAAGTCAGGCTTCATATCGGGCTGAATCGGATCTTTTACGGTATGTAGGCTTAGGCTTAAAGCTGAAGAACGCGGAGGCTTTCTAAATGTTATTTTCTATTTATTTGAACCAAACTGAATTTGTTCCAGAAGGAAAACACATGCACTGTTTATGCCAGACATTGGGTGGCTAATTACCTTTTTTTAAAAATTCACATTAAGGTTTCAATCAATGCCAGTGTTGTAATTTATAAATCGAAACATAACAATCTTTATACTAAAATCTTGAATATTAAGTGCTGATGGATGTGGGAATTGCATTGCCTTCTTCAGAGGTATGAAATGGGTTACATCTGCCACACTAGCATCTCATTTTTATATATATATATATATGTATGTATGTATTGTTGAGCGTAGAAATAATGTCTATAATGATGGTACTGGGAGACTGTGGATTGCTTACTCTTCAAGGAAATAAAAATTATGTCAAATGTTTGCATTTGTCTGTTTTTTGTTGTTTAACTAACCTAAAAGTGGAGGACAAAGTAAAGTACAAGTCCTTTTCATTGACACAAAACAGTCAGTCACAACATAGGTTATGTCTTATGAACTGTAGAGGTGGGCAAATTGGATTCAAAATTATTTTGACAACAATATACCAGAGTTCTTAAGTTATTTATTGATCCTCATTGAACAGTAAGGGGGGTAAAGTAAAATTAACAATCCTGACTGTGGGCTGTTTGGGGGATTTTTTTAAAACATTAATTTGACTTTATGGTCATAATAAATAAGATTTCTTATGGTAATTTGTCACGATAAATGATAAACAGTACATGCCCAACCCGAATGAACTGTATGTAAACATTCAACTCAATTGGGGGGTAATATATTCCAACTATATTATCATTACTGTACAATGTCAGTTTGGTGATGTAGTCCAAGTTACCAGTCTCAATGTTGACCAGCAATATCAGGAACAGGATTTTATTGTTATCATGCAAACCCAGCTGCTGTGGCTGTGGACGGTTCTCACATGCAGTACTCAGGTTTTTTGTTCTTAGTGAACATTACGTCTAATTTCTTTAAAGTTTATCCAGCTCGTTTTCCGTGGTTGCAACTCACACACGCTGCTGCTCTTCCCACAATATTCCGTTACAACTGTGCATCTGTAAAGGGTTTATTGCCAGGGAGCATCATTATAAACCATAAGTAACATTTTCTTTAACGTTTTTGTACTGCAAAAGCTCTATAAGACACATAAACCCACTATCCTGAAAAGCAGAAACATTTAAACTTGACCGCCTTAGGCGAGTACATAACAATTAGCGTAAAAAGTCAAAAACAACCAACAGCCAAATAATTCACTATGATAATGTCTGATTTATGTTTTTTCGCTAAGTCCATTAATTTTAAATGTAGGCGTTTCGCCATATTTTCTCCCTCGCGTTGCTAGGAGACGCTCCAAACAAAAAGCGCTTCCTTGGCAACCTTCACCATTTGTAACTTCAGAGTAGTCGGTAAAGTGAAACATTTTGAAGTTTTTTTTTTTTTTTTCATAATGGCTCTACCGCTTATGCCCGGAAACTCACCCAATGCCCAGGTAAGAGTTCAGTCAGCATTTATCTAACAGACTAGCTCAGCTATGTTAGTTTTTTTATATATATTTAGAGCTGCGTTGCATTACGGTGGCAGTAGAAGCGGCGTTGCTACGTTGGGTCTTATTTGTTCCTTTTTGTAGGCACAATGGTTCTGGTTGAATCGTTGCATGTGTACACAGCTATTCCCTCTGGTTATGGATGCGGTGTAAAGTATAGAGCAGGAATGATTTCTGCTCTTAAACTTTCGGACAGTTGTTAAGGCGTAACTATGGCAACTGTCCAGGTCAAATAACTATGTGTAATATATTCAATTCAAATATCTTTATTTATCCCCGAGGTGCTATTTGAAAATATCCTTTCATATTATGGGCCCAGCATTCTTCCGTTGCGTCACTCTGCTGCAACAAACGATTTTTATTGTCTCCAGTATCGTCGCCATCCACCGCCACGCTTTGAAGATGCTTAAATGACATGAGTTGTGACATTTAACTTCTCTTTAGGATGAATCAAGTATTTTAGAATTTCACTTGAATTTTTCGAAAACAAGTCATATATAAAGAAATATGTGACGTCATGTTTTTTTTCCATATACATCAACAAGTGAAGGTAACATGTTGTGCTATAAAATTACACTATGTGCCAGGAAAATACATAGTACTGCCCCTTTAAGAAGCCATTTGAAATGAAGAACTATGCATGTGGTTACTCGGCAGGATATTCTTAAATCACTGTGTACTGACAGTAAAATAGTATGGAAAAAAAAAAAAAAGATCATTTTTTGATAGCCTCCATCTTGAATCCGTCATGATAGATCCTGGTCTGTCTCCTCTGTGTCACAGCTAAAGAAGGAGAGATTTCACAAATCCCAGCATTTCATCGTTTACGGTGGAGGTATGGTGCTGGACCTGGAGAAGCCGGGTATCGGAGGAGAGCCTTTAATCGGCCAGAAGTTTCTACCAAAATATTCTGTGTATCCCAAAGGAGAGGGCAGTGACCTGCCTTCATGGGTTGCTTTTGACAAACAGGTAAAACTGACTGGACTCAGTTCCTCTGTTATGGATGCAAAAACGGCTAATAATATGGCTAATAGTATATTTTTTTATAACACCTTTTACCAAATCAAGTCAGTGATTTGATCACTTTAAGATCAAATAACACAATTGTGAATTTCTATGAACTTCATTGGGATTATGCGTGAGTCAGGAATTTTGGTGATAAGTGTTATTTGAAATTCTTTAAAGTTTGACGTCCATACACTGCAAAAAGACAAAATCTTATCAAGTATTTTTGGACTAATTTCTAGTGCAAATATCTTTGTATTCTTGAAATAAGGCTGTACTAAATTACAAGTACATTTTCAGCAAGTTATCAAAGCTTATTTTAAGACCACCAGTGCATGATATTGATGTAAAAAAGGGCTTTAGTTCTTCTGGCAGATCATTTCACTTATAAAATGGGTGAAATGTCTTAATGTAACTGAAATAATCTGCCAACTAGAACTTTTTCCATCAATATTAATAAATTATCTACTTAAAACAAGCTCATACGCCTGTTTAAAAGTTTCAGAGAAACTTGCCGGGAAGTTTCTTTGAAATTCATTTTGTCTTATTTGAAGTGTGCTAAGATATTTGCTCTAGACATTTTTGGGCTTTCTTTCTTTTTATCTGGTGAAAAAAAATGAAGAAAACAACAGGAAGTGGTGACTTTAATTGAGTTTGGTACTTAATGGAAACATCACAATTGCCAAATTGTGTTTTTCAACATTTGCAGAAAATTGCCAAAGTTTTACGCACGTTAGTAATGGAAAAGCTACTAGTGAGTTACAGATAAGTCTCTAATTTACAACTTTGAAGATGAAACATTCATGATTAGTTTGTAATGGAGCAGATAAAAGGACATTTTCTAACTTGTTCTAATTGAGAACATTTTGTTAATTTTTCGGATCATGTGAGGACTTCCAGATGGTTCCCATCAGTCACTTGTCTGCTCCTCTGAATAATGCTCTGGGTTGTGAATGCTTTTGCAATACTTTATTTCAAGTGAATTTACTGTAACCAAGCAGCAGAACTACAGTGTAATTAATCCCAGCTTCTCCCTCCAGACTCTTCGTTTTGATGCTTACTTCAAGGAACCTGAATACGATGCAAAGGTCGAGACACACAGAATCAGAAAGTGTAAGATCTTCTTCTACTTGGAGGATGACACCATCCATGTGATAGAGCCGAGATTCAAGAACAGCGGCCTCCCTCAAGGTGCCACCGACACGTCTGAAACTACCTTAGAAACCATGCACTTTCCTCACTTTCCATGGTCCAGCTGTCTAAGAGAATCACAGGTATGACAGTAAAACGGTGAATAACGTTGGTCCTCCCTGTGGCAGGAACGCTCATCCACCGGCACCGCATCCCTCTGCCTCCGCCCAACGACAACCAGTTCTACAACGTTTTCCATTTCAACATCAACAAAGACATAGTGTTTTACTCTCGCACGTTCACGGTGACCGACTGTGACTTGTTCACAAAGAACTTCCTCTCTAAACTTGGTATAACGCTGAACGAGCCAGCCACAGTGCCGGAGGACCCCTACACCAACCTCCGCCTGCAGGTAGAGCTCGTTCAGTCACATGACAAGATCAGGAAACCTCCCTCCCCTGTTTTCACAACTGAGAAATTTCTCAGTTCTATCAGTACTGAGAAATTTTAGTAACAAATGAGAATTAAACAGCAAAAACTGAAGAAGAAGAAGAATACTTGGTTAGGTATAAGGACACTTCCTGCTTTACACTCATCCAAAATAGCTAAAACTATACACAAGTGTGTCACACCCTTTCTTTCCAAAAGTAAGAGTAGACATGTGGAAGTAATATATCCAGTATTGGTTATTGGCCGTAACAACAATATTCACATCGGATATCGACCCAAATTTTCATATCGATGCATTCCTTGTTTTTGTTGTGTGAGGTTTTTATTTTCGCTTTATGGTTGTTGTGTTTTATTCTGGATATTTAAAATATCTTCCAGTTCCAGTGTCCATCAGTGTACAGACAATCAGAAAGCCATATGATTTCCAATGGAATAAGTGTGTTAGAAAATGGACTGATGGATTGCCTTGACAGAGCGAATTTGTAGTGACATGCCATTATCAACATGTTATCTGAAAATGGTTTCAAAACAACAAAATTATCACTTATAACAATAATTACGCTGCCAACAAAATTTGTTATTGTGACATGCAGAAAACTTTGTCAAACGTCTAATTGCTGAAAGTGACCAGTGTCAGAGATTGGTGGACGCTACAGGAAGTATCTTACTAACAGTATTTAAACCAAAGGGGGGCAGCTAAGGAGGTGTCCTAACTTCTTGCTCAGCTAGAAAACACCTTTTTTGTCGATATTTTTGTTTAATTTGTTAAAACAAAGAAACTATTTTGGGGTTCTTGGCTGTCTCCAGCAGGCCTCGGCAGTCTAGACAGTGACTTAGCTTGTTTGTGCCTCTCCACATAGCGAGAAAGAAATTAGCACTGGTCTTTCAATAGCATTTTCACTACACTCCCTGATATTTTATTCATGTCCACTCATTCCCCCTTTAGCACGAGGCGAGCATGAATCCTCTTCGTCCGTACGAAAGACTGCACCCGCTCAAGCAGTTCCTAGAGAACGACGGTAAAACTCTGCGCTTCTACTGCCTCTGGGACGACACAGACAACTTGTTTGGAGATCAGCGGGAACTCGTGCTTCACTACTACCTGGCTGATGACACCATTGAGGTCATCGAGGTGATCCCGCCGAACTCCGGAAGAGTACACGTCCCCAAATTCTTACGCCGCTGCAAACTACCTAAGGTGAGGGCAAACCAAGTCAGTCATACACTTTTTTCATTACACGAGTCACATGATCAACAACTGAATGTTGCCACTGGTGTAGACCAGGAAGAAGAAGACGACGAGCAGTTGGAGGATCGTGGCGCGACTTGTTTTCAAATGTCCTTTTAACCAGATACATTTTACTCTTTATTGAGTAATTTCTTGTTACTTTTTACTGTTACTTGAGTAAAACTATGTTGAAGTAGTTCTACTTTTATTAGAGTAGAATGTTTGGCTCCTCTACCCAGCTCTGACCATACGCATACACGTACCCAGAACATGGGTTACCACTGTCCAAGCTCCTCCTGAGTGAAAGACCTTTTCAGTACATCACAATGTAGAGAAGACAGTTTTAAGAGGGAAAGTTAAAAAGATTTTAAATGCTAAAGGGCGATTAAAGAGCCCCTCAACGTTCCAGTCTTCAATAAAAACTCATCCACGTTGTCAGGACTTCCAGTCTCCCTCAAGCATTCTGGCTTCTCCTGCGCTCTCTCGCTGAAGCCTAATTCATTTTGAAATGCAGCCATTCCTCAGTCCTGATTGTGACTGTACTTATGTGTGTAGGTGTGTGTGTGTTGACACTCATTTTGTTTGCTTCCATGCCTTTTCATAAATTTCAGCCTTAAAGGGGTCAGCAGGATTCTCCATCAAAGGAAATTCCACTCTCTCCCACTTCCAGATCTGTTCTTCTCCCTGCTTCTCTCCGTATCTATGGAGAAAAGATTCTTACATCTGTTGTGTTAACCCTTTTTTTCTGTCTCTGGTGTGTGTGTGTGTGTGTGTGTGTGTGTGTCTCGGCGTGTCTCTGCAGAACGCTCCAGTGCAGATGAAACCCCCTGGAGCGGTGACAGCCCGGACCGTCCTCAACGTGTTTGGCACCATGAATGAAGGAAAGCACGTCGTACTGGACAGCTGTGACGTACGTCCAGTCTCAGTAGCAGGGGGTTCGCAGGGGTGGACTGTAACAGGGTACATTTAAATGAGTACAGTTTTTTGAGTATTTTTTTAAAGGTTTTGTTGGCTCTAGTGGCCTTTATTTTAAAGTAGTTTGACAGGAAGGAGGGTTATGAGAGAGGGGGAAGACATGCGGCAAATGTCACCAGGCTGGGAATCGAACCTGCGACCACCGGCATGAGGAGCACCCCAAGTTTTTTGAGTATTTTTACTCAAATTACTTTGAGTGTGTTCATAAGTTCTTCGAGGAACTTACGACTTTCGGCTAGGCTGTCAGAATAAAACATTTTGCTGGACGATAAATTGTCCCAGAGGTTATTGCGATAAACAATAATATTATTGCTTGGAGACCATTTAATATCAAAGTTCAATAAACTTAAATTTATAATGAACATTTAACTCTGAAACTGATATACATTTTAAACATCCAAAATAAATAAACAACAACAGAAACAACAAATAAAATGAATTATAAAAAAAAGAAAATGTCCTTCAAGAAAAGGGACTTGTTGAGACCAATGCATCAGACTGAAGACTTTTGTTTTTGGTAGAAAGAGAGAAAAGAGAAAATTATTGAACTCATTTTAATTTATCATGCAATGAATTGACTTAATGCTCATTGATGTAGACCTAATTTCGACTCCACTACATTTCTAGGAAGATCATCCTACCTTTTCGCTTATCGTAGCTTTGTACTCTACAGTACTGTCATAGCCGTCTTTTGAGAAATGTAAACCGTTGCCATCCAGTTTGCTCTCGCTCTCCTGCAGATCGGAGCTGCCACTGACGAGTTCTACAAGGACTGCGACCTGGCTATAGGCAAAGAAATAAACGTTTTCGGAAGACGAGTTCTCCTCACCGACTGTGATGAATTCACCAAAGCGTACTACCGCTTCAAGTACGGCACAGGTAAGGAATCACTACTTTGTTGAGAAAACAACCGCCTCTTTGGATAGTTTGTAGTTATTTTTACTATAGAGCTCCTGCTTTCTGCTGCATTACCTAACTCTGACCACTTGAGAGCAGTAAGTGCAAGCATTTGCAACAGCTACTATTCCATACGACTTGATTCCTTCCTGAAAGCAGTGTCACAGGCTATGTTCGCAAAAGGGGCGGGGGAGGCGGGGAGCACATATGTTTTTTGTTGTGTCTGTTGCACACCGGTTGAAACACTTTCGACATGTCGAAAGAGTTCGGCACCTCGGAGAAACCCGGGGCCCCTACGTCTGGGAGTTAAAGCCGCAGCAGGCCATACGGGGGTCCCTGCAGTTGAAAACTAAGCTTTTCCTGGATGTAGCTGCCACTCGGAGCAGGTTCTGGATTAGTCACAGTAGTAAAAAGCGAGCGCAGCCCCTACTGACAGGCCCCTGTGATGGAGGGTCCTGTCCGACTCCAAGCAGTCATAGGTCAGATCAGGGATGGATTACCTGCTTCCCCCTGGGTTGTTTCAGCTCTCTTCCAAGGTTTCTTTCTTCTTTCAAACTGTTTTGTCTTTCCTCCCTCTCTCTCTCTCTCTGCTCCTTCCTCTCAGAGGATTTCACCCCAGTCCAACACAAAGCTCCTCCAGCCCCCAAACCGCCAAGGCTTGTGCCCCCCTACAATGGCTTTGGCTCCGAGGAGGACTCGTTGGGCAACTGCCATGGCCTGATGCCCAAACCCGTCCACAAGGACTTCAAAAAATTTATGGAGAAAGACAGGTTTGGATGATTCAAAAAGTAGCAGTGAAATGAAACAGTGAAGTGTTTGCAAACGGGTGCACATCCCCTTGTACTCTTTCACATTTTGTCACATTAGAGAAGCAAATATTTGTATTTTATTATGGGTTTATATGTTATACTGCAAAACAGCAAATTATACCACGTACCTTTAGTCTAGTTTATGGTGCAAATATCTTAGTGTTGTAGAAATAAGACAAAACTAGCCTAAAATTAACTTTTCAACAGGATATAGAAGTTTGTTTTAAGTCAGTAATTCCTTTAATATTGATTTTTTTTTAAAGTGTACTAGTTCAACTGGCAGATTATTTCACTTATAACAAGTAGGAATGGGCATTTATTATATCGTTTATCATTTATTGTGATTTTAAAAAAATATTGTGATAAGGATTTTGATTTATTGTCATCATGATAAATTCCAATTAATGATGTTTAAAAAAAACCCAAAACTGTTTGTATTTTTTGGATTTTTAGTTTTACTATTTTCTCCACAGTTTTTTGTCATTAAAAGTATCAGTAAATCAGTAGATTTGATTATAAATTAAAATATAAATTTCAAAAGGCTATCTGACTTTATAATACACACATAGTCTCTAGAGCTTAAATGTTGAATATATATTTAGTAACTACTCATTGTTATTTGTTATTGTTGTATGTTCTTATTACCTCATTTATTTAATTTTTTTTATTGTGTACTGTGCTGGGTCAAACAAAATCCCCCCTTAGGGGATCAATTAATAATAATAATAATAATAATAATAATAATAATAATAATAATTATTATTATTATTATTATTATTATTATTATATATACATACAATGTGCAGCTTAATGATACAATCACACTTCTTCAAGTAACTCATGTCCTAATAAAGCGTATTTCTTTTTAAGAGCAGTATTTGTGTGCGTATAGTTGCTGTGCCATTCAGTCACAGCCATACTAAAGTTACCTAAAAAGAAGTAATAAGGTGTTATTGTCACTTTTATTGTTATCACAATAATACCACAAATATACCGTGATAAAACCTTAAGTCCATATCGCCCACCCCTATCAACAAGCCATTTTTACCATGTTATAAGTGAAAAATTCTGCCAGTGGCATTACTCTTAGTGCTTTTGTTAATCAATAATAAGGAAATATTATTGATTATAATACCTAATAATTTCTATGTTAAGTTAAGAAATGTAACATAGAAACTACACCAAAATTACTTCATAAAATGTGTTTTTGCAGTGTAATTTTTGTCCTACTTGACAGGTAAATCGTGTTGGTCAATCCAATAATATCCCAATAAAAGAGAGTTAAGGTTGTGGTTGTAAACGGATAAAATGTGCACAAGTTTGAGCAGGAAGGATTGAAACCCTGTGTTTTTTTCGGTCACTGCAGCAGTGGCCTGAACAGCAACGTGCTGAGATTCAAAGCCAGGATGATGACCACGGATCCAGTGCACAGAGGGCGGGTGTTCCTCATTAGCTACTTCCTGTCTGATGACTCCTTGAGCGTGTTCGAACTGGAGCAGAAGAACTCAGGTAGGGCCGCTCGGCTCCAGAAATGCTCCCCGGCCTGGAGGTGCTAATCTTCACCTCTCCTGGTAAATGTTAAGGTCTCAGACTCCGCCTCCAGCTCCAGAATACTGTAGAAACTGACAATGCATTACAGAAACGCAAATCTTACCAAGTAATTATGGCCTAGTTCATTGTGCAAATGTCCTAGTATACTTGAAGTAAGACACAGATAACTTTTCAGCATGACGTCGGAGCTTGATTGAAGTACATTATTCCTTAATATAAAGTACTAGATCCACTGGCGGATTATTTAATCTGTTGCCAGACATTTTTCTCATGACACAAATGAAATAATCTGTCAATGGATCTAGTTCTTTTTCATCAATATTAAGGATTTATTGACTAAAAACAAGCTCCTATATCTTGCTGAAAAGTTACTTATAAGTTGAATTGTTTCAAGTGTACTAAGATATTTGCACTAAAAAGTAGCCAATAATCATGTAAAAAGCTGTGGTCCACTGGGAAAACGTCAATAAACGTCGTTCGTCTTGCTCCAGGTGTAATTGGAGGAAAGTTCCTGGAGCGCCAG